TCTCCTCCCATTATCAATATATCCCCCCGAAAGCAAGAGACTCATTTGAAGAGTGAATTAGCTGAGCCCTGAGCTGGTAAACCGTTATAATTTTTCTATGTTGATTGGTCCTATTCCCCTAAAAACCCCATTCCAAAGAGGCTTGGAGCTCAGATTTACTCGGGTCAAAGCACCCACTATCTCCACTCTGTTCAATTGTGTTTTGTACATCATTAGTTGGCGCCGTCTGTGGAAACAACTATTCCTCATATAAATATACTGATTTCTTTCAGTAATTGATGGTTTCTACGCGCAATATGAGCAGAAATCAAATGAATCCTCCATAACTACAGAACCAGCAAGAAGCCATCAGCGGAAGACAATAGGAGAATCCTCGCAATTTCTTGCCCACTGTTGAGACTGATCCCCCTGTAGTGAATCCCCCTCCAAACAATGAGCTTGAGACCCTTTGACTTGCAAACCAACGTCTCCTCCAACAGAATGAGGAGTTATCAAATCTCCTTCAACAACCCCAAAAGGCGCAACCAGACTCGAGTAATCCCCCACACGGGGAACATTATCGAATCAACCCCTTACAGAACATCATTGAAGGGGAAAAACGTAGTTAGACCATGGGCAATGACCGTTGGGCCCCCAAAAATGAAGATTATGAGAAGGTGCAGAGTCTGAATAAGAAAATCTATAAAAACAAACTCCCCCCCCCCCCCCATTCTAACAGGAAAGAAGAGAACAATATTAGGAGCAACGTTTCAAGGATATTCAATAGGAGCTCTGCCACATGAAAGAGGTTGTAAGGGGCAAGACTGGGAATCACAAAAAATATGGAGGTGCCTTACCCCAACCGAGTACGCAATATCGAGCCCAGCCAACAGCGCCTCATACTCGATTTCATTATTAGATGCTTTGAATTCGAGTCTGATAGCCCGCTTCACTATAAATCCTCAAGAATCGGCCAAGACTACACTTACTCTGCCCCCTTCGTGTTCAAGGATGCATCAACATGCAAATTCCAAATACCATCGCGGTCAAGAGTTACAGATTTCCTTTCTGGTGGAGACTCGGATGCAGAGAACTCGGCAATAAAATCAGTAAGGATTTTCCCTTTGATGGAAGTATAGGGCTTGTAGCTTATCTCGAACTCTCCTACCTCCACGGCCCATTTGGCAACTCGTCCAAACATGTCAGTTTTCTGAAGCATGGGCTTTAAGGGTCAATCGGTCAAGATCTCTATGGGATGGACCTGAAAATAGTGTCTGAGTTTCCTTGCCGAGACGACTAAGGCCAGTACAAGTTTCTCCATGGCAAGTACCTAGCTTCAATATCAAGTAGGGTCTTGATCACATAATAGACCGGTCTTTGTACTCCGTTGTGCTCTCTTACCAAAGCTCCACTGATTGCCCATTTTGACACAAATAGGGAGAGATTTAGAACTTCACCAACCGCCAGAACAGATAGGGTGGGAGGGGACCTCAAATACTCTTTGATTCCCTCTAACATCCGATCGCATTCTTCACCCCAGGATCCCTTTGCTGCCCCCTTAAGCATGGCGAAGAATGGCCTACACCAATCCGAGGACTTGGAGATGAACAGGTTGAGAGTCGTCAGCATCCCGATTAATTTTTTTATGTTATTACGGTCTTCGGCCTTTGTATGTCCTGCACGGCCTGTACTTGATCGAGATTGACTTAAATGCCACGATGGATGACCAGATATCCCAAGAACTTGCCCAAGTTTACCCCGAATGCACACTTCAAAGTGTTAAGCTTTAGGCCATACTTTTGGAGCACGGTGAAGGTGACCCCGAAATCCCGAAGATGGTCAAATTTCACCTTGTTCTTTACCAACATGTCATCAATATATACTTCCATTGTGGCGCCGAGTTGTTGCTTGAACATCTTATTCATCAGGTGCTGATAAGTGACACTGGCATTTTTCAAACCAAATGGCATCACCTTGTAACAATATATCCCTCAGGATATGATGAACGCCGTTTTCTCTTTATCATATTCATACAAAGGGATCTAGTGATAACTTGCTCGAGCGTCCAAGAAACTAATACGCCCATGCCCCGCGGTCGCATCAATGAGCTGATCGACCTTTGGCAAATGGTATTCATCTTTGGAGCATGCCTTATTCAAGTCTGTAAAATTCACGCAAATTCGCCACCTTTTTCTATGCACATACCGTGTTTGACAGCCACTTGGGGAACTGGACCTACCTGATTAATCCAACCCTGAGCAACCGGTCCATCTCTTCATCAACCATTTGTGTGTGGTTAGACGCCGACCTCCGAGCCTTTTGCTTCACGATTTTGAAAGTTGCATCTACATAAAGTCGATGACATATCACCTCGAGACTTATCCCTGTCATCTCGGCTGGTGTACAAGCGAAGACGTCGGCATTTTCAACAAAGGAAATTTATCATATCAGACTTCTTTGTACCACCTAACGATTTCCCCATCAGAAAAAATCTATTCTCATCCCTGGGATTTAGAAAAACGTTGACCAAAGCCTCCGTGGACCGATCGGCTAGGTCATTAATGGGATCTTCAAAAACCTGGCCGATTGGAATGTGATTACTATTTGGCTAACACAACCTCAGGATCACGTTCTTGGGATCTAGCGCTAACCCCTGGTCTTCACTACTGCATAAAAATAGCTCTTTGATGACGCTAGATCATCGCAAATTTCCATGACTCCATTCGACGTGGAAAATTTTATCTTCTGATGGTAGGATGAATGCACCGCCTTTATTACATACAACCATGTTCTACACATAATGACATTGTATGGGGAGTCGGAGTCTATTACCACGAACTCGACCGGGACTGTGACAACTTCGACGATGACAATGAACGTAACCTTTCTGAGCAGAAGGGCATACGAACCGTTGAATCCAACAAGTGGGGTTTTTACAGGCTTCAAGTCTTTCTAAGTGAAACCCATTTTACAAAAGAGGTTGTCGTACATTACCTTGGAGAAACTTCCTGAGTCCACCAAGATTCTCTTGACATTTAACTTCTCAATCCGAAGAGTGATCACTAGGGTGTCTTCATGTGGGAGGGCCAGCCTACCAAAGTCAGCATCGAAAAAATGAATTGTCTCGGCATGTAGCCGAGGTCATTTAGATTACCCCACATTTGTTTTCCTCCACCTTCACAACTTGTGAAACCCTCTAAAGGTCGACTCGGAGTGAATTGTAAGTTGGTCTATCCACCGTGCAAGCGTGTATTACTTCAATCACGGTTACCACTCCTTGGGTTATGCCTGCTCTTTCCCTTGTCGAGCCCCTTGGGACCACTCCATCGATAAATTCCCCAAGATGACTTTCTTGGAACAAGTATTCGAGGAATGATTTGTACACCCTATAATCCTCGGTGAGATGCCCAACGTCCTGATAGTAAGAACACCGAGACATCGAATCTCTAGAGGATGGATCCCCTTGCATCTTGGGGGGCCACTTGAAAAAATGCTCCTTTATCTTGTGGAGCATTTTGTAAATAGGTTCTTTGAAGATCGTGCTCACCCCCTGGAAGGACATACGACTTAGGGTCGAAGCCCCTTCTTAACGGGTAGTTCCTTATCCCATTTTCTCGACACGGGAGCCTTAAGCTCGAGCATAGTCGAATCCTTCTCCACCCTCGCATACTTGTTTATCCAAGTCATTAGGTCCTTCACGTCCACCGGTGCCCACTTAGTCAAAGATTGATACAGATCAGTGTCTCGGGATAACCCCAGCCAGAATGTCGCCGTAGCCATGGCCTCCGAGCATGCCTTGACTTCATTCACCTCCGCCCAATGCCTGATTACATACTGTCGAAAGGTCTCTGCACCCCTTCGTTTGAGCATTAGCAGAGCACCAATGTCTTTCGGCCTTTTACTGCTAGTAATAAATTGAGCAATAAATAACTTGGTCATCTGTTTCCAGGACTTAATACTTTCAAGGACCAAACCCTCGTATGATTTCATGGCAGTGTCTCCTAGACTCATAGGGAACACTCGGCATAGCAATCTTTAGTCAGTGTCATAGATGGACATCAATTGTTTATATTGTCGCTGATGTCCCTCAGGGTCTGACCTTCCATCATAAACCTTGAAATGGGGGATGGTGAACTTCTTCGGCATCTCAATCTCCCTAATAGCGTGAACAAATGGAGAGACGATTTACTCATCTTCGATGTTATCCTCCCTTTGGAGAGGTCTTCGACGCTTGGTATCCAAGCGCAAACGGAGGTCCTCCCAGGGCCTCTTACTCCTAGGCCCCCTCGGAGTTGATTCTGTTTTGGATTCTACTGCCTCTATACCTGCCAAGAGTTTGTGGTGGAGATCTATACAGGAAATATCCACTCTGCGCTTCTTGCCCCCTTCGGATTTTTCCTCGGGGGCATACCCCTCAAAATTTCAAGGCCCGCGCTTCTCGCCAAGGAGTTCATGCAAGCTCTTCCTCGAGGTATCCCGCCTTTTGTCTCGAGATTCACTTCGATGGATACTCTTGTCTCCACGACTGTTTCTCTGCCAGCTGGTATTCTCCAATAGCTCAAAATCATTGAGCCGAGTCTGTACGTTGGCATTATCTTTCTCAAGCGGCTCCCCATCCTTTTCTCCATCAATTCGATAATTTCACGAGCCAAGACGCGTTGCCCCCTAAGGTTCTGGTCCACCGGTAAGGTCTGCTGGAGACGCGCTAAGCTCCATCCGACTGGTTCAAAGAATCTAATTAGGAGTGGCAATTTTTGATACGATACAATAACCCGATACGAAATACGATACGAATAAATGAGTTTGGGTTGACTAATTTTTTGACACGACCTGCTAACACGAAGTGTTAATGGGTTGTATTCGGGTTCAACCCTTTTAACACGAATTGACCCGTCAACAAGAAGTTTTTAATTCGAAAGAGATTGACTTGGCCTTTTCGTTGCATGTATGAGTTTTCATGTTTTGATGACTTATTTTTTTCATTACTTCTGATGTTTAATTTGGTTGTATGATGTACAATTAACATATTTAATTAGTATTATATAAATAAAATAGTAATTATTTATAACTATTTATCAAGTATTAACATAATTATTGTATAAAAAAAATATTATTACTCATTATTGTTATTATTATTATTGTTAATTTATTTTTTAGTTTGTAGAAAAAATATGAGGAAAGATTCAATTAAGTAAAAATAAAATCTTAGCGTTAAATTGTTTATTCAAAGTTTATGTAGGTCAACACGAATATGAACACGAACACGACACGAAAATAAATAGGTCAACTCGACACGACACGAATAGTTAATGGGTTGGGTATGGGTTGACTAATATTCGACACGACTAATATTCGGCACGACATGAACCCGACACAACACGACTCGATTGCCACCCCTAAATCTGATTCAGTGATTGCTGGGAGCCAGCTAACTTCCGCATTTCCCACGCATAGGCTATCCCCCAAATCAACTTCGGATCGTGTGTTTACCATTACACTATCGCCATAGGGAAAGCTAGTTCACAAGTTCCCACAAACGGCACCAAATTGTACGGGTGATTTCCTGCAACAAGTTGAGATAGCAATATGTGGAACGATCTTGAGTAGTATCAAACCTGAAACAAAGGACAAGGAAAAGGGGGTCGGGTGTGTACCCAACTAATCCCCTACGAAGCTCAAGTCAGGCGACATAAGTGTCATAAAAATAGTCTTTTCTCAATTGGAATTGCATATCTTAGAGCAGTTTTTTAAGGGGTATTTATACTTGAATTTGCAATGGTGGAGGGGTCTTTGAATCCCATCTCAGAATTTAATGATATGCACTCATATACAAGCATAATAAGTGTTATCACGTCAAATCTCCTGAAGATTAACCCCCTCCGACAAGTAGACCCTTGGCCGAGCCTTTATGGCCCAATCCCCAATCATTAAATACCTCCCCTCGATGCTTCACACCAACGCTCGAGCGTTCACTACTTAGGAATAAGCGCCCTCGAGGTTTGCCGAGGACATTTAGGTGGCGTTATGACACTTAATGCCTTGTAATGATGTCTGTCTTCACATTTTTCGAGGATACAGATGCTCATTAATGACCTTATCACAGTTACTCAATACCTCATTAATGAACCATCATATCCCTTTTAATGCTAGGATCTGAGGGGCACACTCAGCCCTCTAGGTCGTAACTCTTTGGCGCTTTTCCCAAGCGATCCTTGCGCTCTATAACGGCTACATTTGTCCACGCGCCCATTTATTGCTGTCAAGCTGCCTAAAGTCCCATCAACTGCCCCCAACATTCATTTTTCTCGCGTCATGGGACAAGTGCCCAATATTGATTTATATACTTGATAGGCTACTCCACCCATTGCCAGTTGGTTTTGGGTGAGATGTTCAAACAATAGGTTTGTATCATATGTCCAAAAGCCGCTCGATGAAATTTGTCTAACAAGTCCAGGCACATGCTCAAACACAAAGGTTATGAAATTTGGAATTAGAAAAATAGTGAGCATTCTCTAACCTAAAAACCCACCTTTCACCACACTATTCTTTTAACTCATGTGTGCATATATGTGTGTGTGTGTGTTTGTTTGTGTGCTTGTGTGTGCATCTGTTTATTATTCTACTTTCTGTTCTTTTTTTATATTATTAGATATTGGTGGGTGGAAATTGTGGAAGATGCGGTGACGGGTGGTTGTGGTGACGCTGATGGATGGCGATGGTGGTATTGATAAGGGAGAAAACGAAGACGTAGAAGAAGAAGACTTGGGGGTATCAACAGCATTTCACCAATGCCGCTGACGGAATTACTGGTGTATTTAGGTCAACAAACCATATGAGTTACGTCAGTTATGCCCAAGAAAAATATATCAAAACAATTATACTAAATCTGCAGAATTAAACCCATGTATGAAGTTCTATAAGATCACATCACAAATACCTTGCGTGTATGAAGAAGATCATTAATAGTTTTCAATGGGTCAGACAGGGCAGCCAAAACAACAGGAATGTGAAGATCATCTGACATTGAAGTTAGAAACTCTTCATGAAACTTATTGATGCAATTCACAGTTTCTAATGGAATGGAGTCCTTCCAACTCGCCTCATCATGCTGGCTCAGAACATATTTACAATCTTGTAATGTCTGCAACCAATGAAACTCATAAAACATTTGGGAACACTTTTTTCCTCTTTGCTTATAAAACAAAAAGTAACCATCAGAATTAAAAAAATATATATATGTGTATGCAGTCCAAACTCCCAGGATCTACAACCAAGATCTTCCTTAATGTTCTTGTAACAAGACACACCTAGAACTAATTGAAAAGAAAGGGGGGATAAGATTAGTTAAGTCAATTTTTCAAAAGACCATCATGTGTTGCTTTTATCTAAAATGCAATATAGTACAATGACCTTTTCATGTAAAAAATGCTAATGCACATGATTGATTGAAACACCAGAACACCAGAATGACCACATTAAATCACAAAACCTGAGGAAACCACATGATCCAAGCTAGGTAGGGATGGTTTCCCAAATAATGAAGCGATAGAGGACTCTTTTGTTTATTCATTTCTACAGACAGGTTATGGTACCTGATAGATGTAAAAAACAGGGTTAGACGCACTTTCAAGCTGGACATCCGAGTAGTTGATAGGAGACCAATAATGTGTCCCAATCAAGAAAACTCTCAAGGCCAGGGGATGACAAAGGTCTATAACCTGGGAAACATCAAATATTAACAATGGAAGAATCTAGCTAAGTAAAAGATGTTTCAGAACTTAAAGATCACAACTCGAGTATCAAAAAGAATGAAAACAAGTGTTCCACAACATATGATATCCTTTTACCTGACGAATTGTGAAAAAAATTCCAAGTGACTTGGACATTTTCACCGAGTTGATGGTGACAAATCCATTGTGTATCCAATAGCTTATGTTGCTTTTGCTGCATGCAGCACAACTTTGAGCAATTTCGTTTTCATGGTGGGGGAAAACAAGATCCATCCCCCCACCATGTACATCAAAAGAGTCTCCTAGATATGTAGCACTCATGGCACTGCACTCAATATGCCATCCAGGTTTTCCAGGACCCCAAGGACTCTCCCAAAAAGGTTCCCCCTCCTTTGCAGACTGCATGAAAAGTAATACATTTTAGGAATATGGAACCAATTAAATGGAGTACATTATAACTGATATTCCTTGCTATATTATAGCTAAGTAACTTCTTGATACACGTGCTCACACTACGAAGAGGGGAACTAGTATTTTCGTATTTGTGTAACCAGCATTACACTATTTATGTATGTTGACCATATGTTGTTGAATTTGAATCTCTACAGTGCACATAACTGAATGATGAGGATAGAATTGTGCATAATTTATATCTTTTTTGGGTAAGTTATCAAAACAGAATTCCATTTATTTAGTTGAAAAAAAAAACTTCAATTACAAGTCAAACCATGTTGCATACCTGAACAAACCAGGTTCAAAATCTAGTTAAACAATAAGTGACCACATAAACATATCAGGTTGCGTTTGGCAAGTTGATATGGTTTAACACTGCGCATGCCTAACTAATGTACATGTACATTATTAACACTAGAAATATTTGTGAGTGAATGGGATACAAACTAAGTGTAGAGTCCCCGTATATATAACCAACGAAAGTTTAAAATAAGGATAAAAAGATAAACCAAAATAAACCCTAAGAAACTAGATTGTTATATCTCCAACACTCTCCCTCAAGTTAGGCGCAAAAATGTCAACTAAGTCAAATTTGACAACAGAGTCCCGAAAAATAGATAGAGTGACAGGTTTGGTAAAAACATCCGCAACTTAATCACTTGTCCCCATGAACGATGGAGTGACAATACTACTGCTAACCTTCTCCCGAAAGAAGTGAACATCGATCTCTATATACTTTGTCCTCTCATGTAATACTGAGTCAGAAGCGAGCTGAATAGTAGATCAAATATCACAATATAATGTAAATAAAGAAGTCACTGGAAATCCCAACTCGCCAAGAATCGATCGTAACCAGATAATCTCACATGTGCCAAGTGTCAGTGCCCGATACTTTGTCTTTGCTAACGAGCGAGAGACAACTGACTATTTCTTACTCTTCCAAAAGATAATATGAGTCCTTCGAAAAGCACAGAAGCCCGTAGTAGATCGACTATCACACGTTCCCCATAATCTGAATCTAAATAACAGGCTAGAGAACCAGTCTGAAATCCTAATGCATAGAACAACCCAAGTCCAGGACAAGACTTGAAGTACCGAATAATATGATAAACTGCATCAAGATGAGGCTGACATGGTCTATGCATGAACTGACTAACTCGGCTGACAGCAAATGAAAGGTCTGGCCTAGTGTTAGCTAGGTAGATAAGTCTACCTACCAACCTTTAATAGATAGTCAGATCTCTCAACTCCTCATCTTCAGCAGTAAGCTTTAAGTTTAGAATCATGGGTGATAATGCCGATTTACACCCCAGCATCCAAGTGCCTGAGAGAAGATCCAAAACATACTTTTTTTGAGAAAAAATAATACCCCTACTGCTACGGGCAACCTCAATCCCAATAAAGTATCGCAAAAATCCAAGGTCCTTCACATTGAAGGTCTTCCCAAGGTCTATCTTGACCTGTGCAGTCCCAGAAACATCATTTTTAATAATAATATCATCAATATATACCAAAAAGATGACACACTGTCCAGAAATATTACGTAAAATGAAGCAAGTATGATCAGAATGACATCTGGTGAACCCTAAACGTACAACATCACTAAAGCGAGAAAACCAAGCTCGTGGTGACTGTTTCAGTCCATAAAGAGATTTTTGCAATCGACATACCTTTCTAGCATACTCCCCCTCACCAGGAAAGCCCGGTGGTGCATTCATATAAATAATCTCGTCCAGATCACTGTGAAGAAATACATTCTTCACATCCAACTGATGAAGAGGTCAAGCGTACTCCGTAGTCAGAGAAATAATCAATCGAACAATAATCAATTTTGTTACGGAGGCAAAGGTAACACTAAAATCACGACCTGGTAACTGAGTAAAGCCCTTCCCCACAAGCCTAGCCTTGTAACGATCAATAATATCATCCACAAAAAACTTCAGGGTGTAGACTCAGTGACAGACAACAGGCTTCACCCCTGAAGATAAAGAGACAAGATCCCACGTATGATTATGCTGAAGAGTGTTCATCGTCGTTTGCATGGCAAGAACCCACTGAGGCTCCCACATAGCCTCTGAAATAGAGCAAAAAACTGACGTATCTGATAAGGTTATACTACAAGCTCGAAATGTAGGAAAAAGATGATCATAAGAAACATAAGCAGAGATCGGATATAAAGTCTTAGCGGTCTAACCATAATGGACAACTGGACAACGATCACGTTGCTGAAAACAACATCTTAAATCATCATCCTCCACTGACAATGTCTCATCAAGAAAAGTAACTAGCTCAGTACCTGCAATCTCATCAGTACTAACAACAGGTACATCAATATGCTCAACTAACTGAGAAGTATTATCTGCATTACCTGAAGTAGAGGGAACATCAACGGGGGGATGAGAGCGAGGGCGACGAACATAAACTTGTAAAGGAAGAGAGACTGGTGACTCTGTACTGACAGGGACGAGTGACTATGGTGGACCAGAGACTAATGACTCTGTAGTGATAGTGACCAATGGCTCTAGCTCTTGTGGTAACGAAAAATCAAAGGGAGTATCATCAACTGGAGGGACAGACAGGAGTGGAAGAAAAATAAAGAATTTACTCAAGAAAGATAACATCTAGACTATGATACGTATAGCGCCTAATAGGATCATAACACCGATACCTCTTAAACTGATGACAATAGCCCACAAAGACACAACGAATCGCTTTATCATCAAGCTTATGACAAGTAGGAGACTAATCCTTAACAAAATATGTGCAGCCAAATACACGAGGGGGACCGAAAAAAGTGTCTGCTCAAGGAATAAGACTTATAAGGAAGCCCTATGTTGAAGAACACAATTCGGTGTACGATTACATAAAAAAGTAGAAGTCAAAACAGCAAAATGTCAATAAGATTTAGGTACCCCCATACATCTAAGCATACAACGTACCATCCCTATTAGACTCCTATTTTTCTTTTCAACAACTTCATTTTGCTCAGGAGTATATGGACAAGTGAATTGCTAAAGGATACCCTGAGAAGGAAGATGAGACACTAAGGCATCAGACACATTTTTTGGCATTATCTGAATGCAGAGCACAAACAATGACATCGAATTGTGTCTTAATCATCTGGAGAAATTGAGTGATCACAGGGAGTACATCAGATTTTCTATGCAAAAGGTAAACCCAAGTACAACGGGTATGGTCATCTATAAATGTCACATAATATCGAGCACCTGATAAAGCAATAACAGGAGAGGGTCTCTAAATATCAGAGTGTATTAGATCAAATGGCTTGGGTGACTGGTGCATACGAGGAATATAACTGGTCCGAACATGTTTCGATAGGGAATATATAACACAGTCAAGTTTACCACCAACACAAGCACTGCTTAAAGCAGGAAATAACATACATAAATATTTAAAATTTGTATGCCCAAAACGGTCATGCCACAACTAAATAGTTTGTGATGAAAAATCATAATGACAAGTACTAGATAAAATACTAGCATGCAAGCTAGGAACAGATAAAGACAAAGTAGGTGCAGGTAATGGAGGTGGAGGAACTGATGAAACTAGAGGTGGATCGCTTATATAATACAATTTATCTCTCTCATGTCCCCTGATAATAATCCTCTTGGTACTCAAGTCCTACAAATAACACAAATTAGATAAAAACACAACCTCACAGTGAATATCTCTAGCTAACTGATGTATGAATAATAAATTCATGGCTAGTTTTGGGGCATAAAAAATCGAATGTAATGTAAAGCCATCTAGGGGACGGACTGTACCCCTACTAAAATAGGGACATGTGTCTCATCTACTAGCTAAACCTGTGTATGTAACTGCTTGTCAAAAGTGGTGAAGTGATGAGCCTCACCTATCATATGATCATTCGCACCTGAGTCTAACATTTAAAGGGGAGACGAACTGGCGCAAGCATGAAAGGCACGAGGTATATCTGTAATGGTGGCAGTAATAGTAGTTGAACCCTGAGAAGTCAAGGCAGACATAAGTATATCCAATTGGGAAATAATATCATCCATATCGCTCTGCCAAGGAGCAGCAGCAAGAACAACGACAGTAGGTGGTGATACCTCAACAACAACAGTAGTATGGCTACAAGGAGGCGGCTTAAACTCCGGATAGAGCTTCCAGTAAGTATCCCTGAGATGACCTGGTCAGCCACAATAATCACACTGACAAGAACTAGGACATACATTCCACGTGGAAGTAATAACAAGAAAGGTCTCAACTGTAGAGGTCTTCAGTCGAACAATAGCGACAGATAAAGAAGGTCCAAAAAATTCTCAAATAATCAGGTCACGATACCCATAAATCCAAGAAATATAAATAATGGATCTACTGCATCAAGAGCAGATCATCAGATAAGAGGATTCATCCCCTATTTAAAAAGTCGAAAAAAAAAGATAGTGGCGCAAAGAGATGGCAACACTATGACAAAGAACGCGGCACACGAAGTTAAAACATGAATCTGCAAGGAAGAGCGCGATCCGATAGTGGACTAGTTCCCTGGAGTGAGTTGGTTGGGCTTTGGGTGCAGTCGGCTTTGGATTTTAGGTTCGTTTGATTTTGTCGGCTGGGTCCGATGGGTTGGCTTATTGGTTTATTGAGATGTAGGGGGTGAGGCAATCGGTGATGGGCTAGGTATTTTTGGATTATCGCGTTTTGGGTTGGGCAGTGTTTCTATTGATTCTTCTGGACAGTGTGTGTTGACTGGAGCAGAGGCAATCGATGGACTGGTTTGAAGAGGTAGTCGGTGGTTGAGAAGGCAGTAGGTGCTGTTTTGTGCTCTGTGTGTTGATTGGAGCAGAGGCAGTCGGTGGACTAGTTTGAGGAGGCAGTCTGTGTTGGTGTCGGTGCTGTTTTGTGGGTTAATGGGCACTGGTTTGGAGTTGCTGTCGGTGCTGGTTTGTTCTGGGCAGTGTGTGAGTTGATTACTGTCGGTGGACTGATTTGGAATTGCTTGGTTTTGGCTGGTTGTGATGTTTGGTTGAGGCTAGGATTAGGAGTAGAGTTAAGGTAGTGGCACTGATACTAATTAGAAATATTTGTGAGTGAATGGGATACAAATTAAGTGTAGAGTCCCCGTATATATAGCCAATAAAAATTTATAATAAGGATAAAAAAATAAAATAAAATAAACTCTAATAAACTAGGTTGTTATATCTCCAACGTTAACAATAAACACTTACATTCCACAAAGCAAAATCAGCTGGGTTTTTCTTCCTCGAGTCCACTGCCACGTGCTCGCCTGCTTGATTATCTTTTAATATTTGCCTAGACAATCTTCCATATTATGGAAATTTGTCCACATAGAAGTATACATCCCCATCAATTCTGTAGGCACACTCATTATCAAGAATCTGTCATAATATCAAAAGTGAAGTTCATGAGTTGCTGATTCAAGGAAACTCATCATAGATTCAAAACAAGAAATAATAGAGAAGAATAGCCTATAATGTTTGATACCAACAATATTTACTCCTTCCTTTGGGATTGAAGCATCATTAATGTGTGAATTAAGTATTGGGATAAAAAGAAATACCCAATGCCCTGCCCCTAAAAAGGTCTAATAGGAAAGGTATTTTATGGCACCCAAATAAAAAAAAACCTAGATTTCAGTTACATTCATTAATCAAATGAAATCAATCTTTTACTGGTCTCTGTTTCCTCTTTCAAAGATACTAATCAGCATTAGATTAGCCCAATGGTTCCTCTCAAAAGAAGATTCTTCAACGTTCTCCAAACTTCTGTATACAAAAAACATGAAACTGCAGAAAAAATGTAGCATACAGAGTCATGTAAAGTGAGGAAATCGGATTGTCACAATTTGCATTCCTAAAAAATGCAAAGTGCAACTTTCTTCCTATAAATATTAGAAATTAAGTAAAAAAAAATTCCTATAAAAAACACATTAAGTAAATAAACATATTGCTGGACCAAGATATCAAGTTTGCATACAGAATGAAACCAACAAACCAAGAGCCCCCCATCCCACCCCCCCACCCCCAAAAAAAAAAAAAATCTTTTGTCATATCTTTCCTCTCTGTTTGATCTCCATACACACCAACTAAGAAACATTGTGAGTGCATTCATCGCAAGTCCAAGTGACTACAATCTATGTGATGTGCATGCACAACCCACTCTAACTGCTGGAATTCAAGAAATCACCCCATGTTAGATGCACAAGTATGCAGTTCAAGGTTGTATTGCCATCGACTTAGAGAGCATTGAGACTTATCGATCACAACATCGTGGAATGGTTTAGGTGGTACATACAAAATAATAGATAGAAGAAGTTGAACATAATGAGATATTCAAACCATGTTGCAGAGTCACAAAATGAGATCGGCACATGAGGTGCAATGGCTTGAGCGACTTGTAATTAACTCAAAGGTGTCTCACACGACTCTACCAAGTCGTGTGAGGCTTGCAGTTTACACATCACGTGAAACAATATTTTACCAGAAGGTGCCGAGTTAGATACAAGTCATACAATTCAACTAAGTCATGTCAATATCAGCGGATAATTTGAACAATTTACAAAAAGATAACAACTATTTGTCCCAGAGTTTAGTGTAACTAGAAAATGTAAGGATAATTGAAATAGAGTTAATTCCTGAATAAATGATCTTTTCAAAGTAAAGCAATTTATCTACAGTAAATGTAGCAGATGCCAAAAGGATGGCACAGGGCATGTCCCAATAGGAGTCATCCTCATTTTTTCTTTGGACAGCCACTACAATAAGTCACAATAAGTAGACTTTTTAGGTTAAAAGTTTTAATAGCCCCCATAGAGAATGAACTGTATACCATCTCCTAATCTACGGTTCTTAATTCAACAGCTCTGGGTCTTTGTTATAATTCAATAACTCTGGATCTTTGCTATCAGTGTGCAACAACAATAACTCCACTTGTCCTTGGTGTGCAGAAGAAGAATTTTGTAAAAGTTGAGCCATCTTTCACTCTGGCTTGAACCCAAAAGATAGTCTTATCAGAATTTAATTTTCTTTGGTTGATCCAATTCTGTCACGCACTGGGCTTCTTTTCAAAGAATTTGGGAGTAGAGCTTGCTTTAAGCCTTGGTCCATTTTCACATACTCCACTTATACCAGACCTCAATCATCCTTTCTTTTCAATAAATGTTAGGTTAATTAGAAATGTGTGTGTGTGAGAGACACTCTCTTTGTAATATTAATTGCATGTGTTCATAATCCTACCAGTCCAGAAATAATGGTCAGTCCCTATGAATGCACGAACAAATAACTACTTCTTCCAAAAGAAGGGTTCATAACATCTATTCTAGCAGTTTATGTACCTGAAGATGATTTGACTAATACTATCTTACTATCAAGAGGATTAGCAGTCAAAGGTATCCATCTAGTAATATACATGTACTGACATATGAGGAACCCGCATGTAGTTCTTTGACCCTTTGCGATAGTATTAGTGTTCTGAGTAAATGCTTGAATCCTATAGCAAATAATCCACTCTTTCCTTTTGGCAGTTCTAATAGAGAGCAGTTCGCGATTGGCTTTCGGGTTGGCTAGTTTCAAATTGATTGATCAACTGTTTTGAGGATTGGGCAGACCGGCAGAACTAGAGCAAGCGCCTTTTCCAGAGCTGGAGGGCACCGGATATGGATCTAAACGATTCCTAATGATACTCATGTCTTTCAGCTTAGTGGGATCTGGAGAAAGACAGACCTACCTACCAGTTCTAAGTGGATTACTTTACGACGACGGACAACTGTTGGAGGGGATTTGCTGCACAAGGCATGAAAAAGATTAAGCAATAACCAGACTAAACCAATGAAAGCAGACTAAGATTTCTATTATAAATATCAAAGGTAAGTTTCTTTCAACAAGTGTCTCCGCTGACCACTTAGTGTTTTTGCCACTAAATCAAGTGTAGCAACTTAATCCTGTCTTTGATGACTAGTATAAAAATTGAGTGCATTAGTGTTCTACATAATCCTGTCTTTGATGACGAATTCATAGATATTAAGTGTATTGGTGTTTCTGTATTAACAATGTCAGTGTATCAGAAATCTTCAAAAAACTCTACACTATCATGCATCTAATTGTCATGGGGTAACAACTCGTTTTGCTTTTGAGGCTACCCGTGAAAGCGTTGCGATTGCAACTAGCCACACAAAGGCAACACGAATTTATTGGGACAACACTCTCAAATCTTATATATTGAAGCTCTCTACAATTTACACAAAGCAAGAACACTCTCTGTCTCACAAGAACAAGCACCCCTATTTGTACAAGGAGCATGGCAGATGACACCCCCATCAGTCAAGGGGTTGTTACACCCAAACTGCCTGTTCTTTAGCAGACTTAGTTAGCAAGGCTACGTCTCTGCACGACACCTAGCACGTAGTTCAATCCATTCAGCAACTGATATGGAACTGCCTCTTATCAGCATGCACCTATACCAGAATGTGGCTAAAAACGCCCACAACTGCCTACCTCAGACTAGGTCATGTTCAGCAGCAGCTTTGACTAAGTCAGCACCAGCAACTGCCCATATTCTCTTGGTCACATGCATTGAATAGCCATGTGCTCATAATTCAACAACCAACCTCGCCCACAAACCATTGTGCATGTGGGGTCAAGCTCATGTCATGTAATTCGAAGTCATGCACCAACATTGCCTCAATTGAGTCCACCATGTGCTGTCATGCTCAACCGGATGGTCTCATGCTGTCAAGGTCCGCACCAACCAGTCGAACCCTTAACCGCATCACCTTGAATTCTTCTCATGGTGTGCCTTAGTGCAAGGTGCCACCAAAACCACCATTATGCACCCAAGTCAATTAGGGTGTGACAAGCCACCCCCACCTAAAGTATCCAACGACCTTTTTGGAATGGTGGCATGGTACAGCTTGATAAAATCCTCGAACTACTACAATGTCGTCTCTTTTTTTCAAGTGGTTTCTTTCAATGCTTTCCCTTTCCACTTAACTAAGTAATGAGTCCTATTTTTCTTATTCATTCCCTCTTGTGGTCAAGGTAGCTTCTGCTATCTCCGTGAATTGCTTCCTGATTGTTGGAAGAGTCCGACGCCGAGTATATCTGCTAGGGTCCTCTAGGTCCTCAACGTACGGCTTCAAGAATGCAACACGGAAAACTGAATGTAGCTTGAGACAACTAGGAAGATCCAATTTCTAGGCCAATTTGCCAATCCTTCTTGTGATAAGAAAAAGATAAGAAAAGGACCGTCATAACGCTGGATCAATCCCTTATGTGCAGACTTCTGAGTGATCTTCTTCTAAATTGGTGGGGTAAGTTTGAGCATCATTTTGTCACCCATTTTGAACCTATTGCCCTCTTTTTCTCATCTACCCATTTCTTTATCCTCATCATTGCTTTTGTCAAGTAGTCATTTGTCTCGTCGGTCCTCTCTTAATTAGACTGAGCAAAGCGATAAACTACAGGACATTTTCCTTGAGATTTTTGCTTGGCTACCTCGTGTAGAGTGAGAGGCTGATGGCCAATTGACAACTTGAATGGGCTCATCCCGGTGAAGGAGTTTTGCTGCAAATTGTAGCTAAACTAGGCGACATCAAGTAAATCCACTCAATTCTCCTGATTCACTGTGACATAAAGTAAATCCACTCAATTCTCCTGATTCGCTGTAACATAATGCCTGAGATATTCCTCTAGCATCGCATTAATCCACTCAGTCTGCCCATCTGTCTATAAATGATTATTGGTGGAAAAGTTGCGCTGCGTTCCCAACAACTCGAACAAGGCCATCCAGAACCAACCAGTAATCCGCGTGTCTTGGTCGCTGACCATTTCAAGCGGAAGGCCCCGACGCTTCACAATATGCTTAAGGAACAGCTAAGCTATAACTTCAACAGAACAACATATTTTTGGAGCCATAATGAAGGTGGCATACTTTGAAAATCTGTCTACGACCACAAAGATCGAAGTAAAGTCTTTCACCTTAGGCAAGCCATTGACGAAATCCATGAAAACACTCTCCCAAGGTCTGTTTGGAATGGGTAGAGGCTTCAAGGTACCCGTCATCTTCCTCATTTTTGTCTTGTCCTGTTGGCACACCAAACAAGTGCGCACATATAGTTCAACTTCTACTTCCATGCGAGGCCAATAATAACTTTCCGCTAATAGGGCAAGGGTTCGTTCCTACCCCAGATACCTTGACCATCGAGCATCGTGAGTCTTTCAGCAACATTTGTCGAAGTCTGTCCGACTTTGAAACATAGGGCCTCCTTCCTTTGGCATAGAACACACCATCCTCTATCCAAAATCGTTGAGTAACCCCCTCTTGGACCTGCTTTAGCAACAAGTTGGTCACGAGATCAACCTTTGTTTGATCTTGAATTCTTTGCAACATATCCCCAGAAAATCTGGCTAAGTGTAGCCATAGTTGTCAAATCGCGATTCGTCTCGTGAATCGTAAAATTTGACACAAAATTTGAACAAAAATAAAAAATAATACTACATATTTAAAATAGAAAAAATATTGAATATTTAACATTATGTTTTGGTTAACAATTTTCAAATTCAAAATTTTGAAAAAAAAATCATTAAAGAACCATGACTATTCAAAAACCAAAATAGTGATACCCAGTATAGAATAGGTTATAAACATGAATGAAAAAATAACAAATAAGAAAATTGATTGCGAGAAAACATATATGCCACATTTTGAAACAAAAAATTAGAACCTAACAAACTAACCATGAAAAAATTGAGAGCAAAAACCAACCGATGATATGAGAGCGTTACCCGTGACCATTAGCTTTAGACAACGCAAGAGGAGCTTTCGATGATGTCAAAGAAAAACTAAGGAAAGAGATTGAATTTTTATTAGAGACATGGGTTTCTCTACAAACAAAATGACGTCGTTTTACTATTTAGCAGACAAAACGATGTCATTTTGCCAAAATTTGAGTTTTAAGAAAAAAGTGATTGAATTGTACAATTCATGCAATACGAATCAAATCATACGATTCATGTGCGATTCAACTATAAAACGATTCTCATAGAAGATATAGATCGTTTTGTACTTGTATCAAACCAAATCATACGAATCAAATCGCGAATCGTACGATTTTGATAACTATGAGTGTAGCCATCACCCCATCAGCAACTTGGATTCGGCTAAGTGCATCGGCAACCTGATTTGCACTGTCAGGCTTGTACTGCAACATAAAATGGAAATGAGTAAGAAAATCCTGCCATCTTTGCTTGTTTTGGTGTCAACCTCTTCATGGAATTGAAGCAGATGGTAGCCACATTGTCGGTCAACACTAGAAATATTTTTCCAACAGGTAATGCCTCCACGTATTGACACAGTGAATGATTGTTGTCATTTCCTTTTCGTGCACCGAATACCGCCTCTTCTCGGTATCATTCAGCTTCCTACTTTCAAACGCCACTATATAACCATTCTGCACCAACACTCCTCCAAGAGCGAAGTCTGATATGTTAATATGGACTTCAAAAGGAAAGTCAAAGTTAGGTAGCTATAAAATTGGGCTAGTCATCACCACCGTCTTCAATCAATTGAATGCCTCCTAGCATTCGTATGACTAGTTCCAAGTCCAATCTTTCCTCAAAAGATCAGTCAACATAGCGACCTTCTTTGAGGAGTTCTTCACAAACTTCTGATAATAATTTGCAAAACCAAGGAAAGAACACAATTCAGTAACCTTGGTAGGGACAGGCCAATTCGCAATTGCCTCAACTTTCTTTGGGTCCATCTTCACTACACCCGCAAAAATATTATGCCCAAGGAATGAGATTTCTCTTTGAGCAAACTCACATTTTTTCGATTTCAAGTAAAGCTGCGCTTCCCTCAACTTTGTCAAAGCCAACCTAAGGTGCTCAACATGCTCCTCTAAGGTCTAGTTGTAAACAACTATGTCATCCAAGTAAATCACCATAAAGTGATCCAAGTATTCCTGAAATACATTGATCATCAAGTTGCAGAATGTGACAGGGTCATTTGTTAAGCCGAAAGGCAAAACTAAAAATTTATATGACCCATACCTCGTCACACAAACTATCTTTGTCTCATCTCCTTCCGCAATTCTGACTTGATAATATCTCAACCGCAAGTCCATCTTGGTGAAAAAGACTACTTTCCTCAGTCGATCAAACAACTCATTAACAAGCAGGATTGGATAGTTGTTCTTGACAATCACTTTGTTAAGGGCCTTATAATCCACACTAAGCCATAAGGATCTATCCTTATTTTTCTGAAATAGGACAAGAACTCCATAGGAAGCTTTTGAAGGTCTAATGAACCTAATGTCTAATAAACTACCAAGCAGCCTCCTTAGCTCTGCTAACTCTGATGGAGACATCTAATAAGGCACTTGGGCAGAGATTTTTGCCCCTGGAATCAATTCGATGGCATGGTCAATCTCCTGCCGTGGCGGTAATCTGGCTGGCAATTCTTTGGGTGCCACGTCCTTGAATTCAGCCAGTAACTGTTGCACTAGTTCAGGGACTTGCAATGCTTTGGACTCCTCATCCTCAAACAGAACAGCCAAGTAAGTTGTTTCTTCTCTTCACAAGCCATTTTTCACTTGCAAGGCAGACAACATTTCTCCCGAGGACTTGGCCTTGATGAGAGGAACAAAACTGGAACTAGGCATATCCATCACGAAAATCCCAAGCAAATGAGGCATAACCGACACCTTTGCCTTAGTAAGAAATTCCAGCCTAATGATCACCTAGAAATCGTCAAGAGGGACTGCCATAAAGTCACATGGTCCTTACCATTCACCAACTTTCAAAGGGACT